TGGACGACCTTACCTGACTATATTATTCTTATATTCAATATTCTTACTACACCTACGATCTTGTATTGTTTTTCGGGCCTTTTTTCACTCTATTCAAATTTAAGAATCTTAACCGTTTAAGAAGGCGATAAAAAGATGACTTAAAGAGACAGGGCGGGAAGTAGGAGTAGAAAATTGGTCTAAAAAATTAATTGTCCTAAGATAGTTGGAGAAGTGCATCATTATTCGCATTTTGAGTGCACTACGAAATGTGTTGAGTACAAGACATACTTTATAAATGTACAGAGATTAAGCATAATTGCCCGCCGCATCCTGAGAAGCTCTTAAATCTAAAGATATTCATTAATAAATAAATTTGTAAAAAAAAAAAAAAAAAAAGAAATCATAATAAGGTGTTCGCATTATTAGGTTTACCTGGGCTTATTTTCTACGAAATCGTATAAATATTTTTTTGCAAATATTTTTTCTTCCATTTTTCCACTCGCACTCTTTTTATACAGTTTCCGTAAGTTTTTAAAAGCTGTTCACTTTATAACATTGAACTACACTCCGACCTACTGAGTAGCAGGGCACGTATATGTCATGTTCACAGAATATCAAAAAAGAAGTAAGAATCTTATAGACGGGCAAGGCCGACAATTAAATACCCTACATCAACTGTTCGCATTTTTGCATGAAATTACTATTATGGGTCAATTTTCATCGCAGCATATTCAAAATTAGACTTTTCTGCCTTACAAAGGATGAAGTTTCGTGACAAACCTTATTGGAATGGGATTAAAAAAACAGACCTGGCCGGTCGAAATATTGCTATAATTAATTGTTTTATCTTTATTATGATCTGATTTTCAAGATAAAGTATTGAAAATTAGAACTTGTTGCCATATGAAGTTTAGTTTTCGTTATATGAGAGGGGTTTTGAAAAAATTTCTGCTGCTGGTCCAAAGTTTTTACACCAATTTGGAATGCTGACATATTGTTACTTAGTCACCTTTGTCGAGAAATTTTGGAAATTGAAATTTTATTCCACGTAACGATTTTTCAAAATAGAGCGTTATATAGGGAGGCAATCGAGGAAAGTGGACCGATCGGAAACATTGTCAATGGTTGTTTGTTCTTGGGCCAAAGTGTGTCTCAAAAATTGCCACCTGCAGCTTGAAGGACAGACATCAGACGGAGAGACAACCTTAGAGCGATTTCGAAAATGATTCTAAACTGATCGGTATAATAGTAGATACGTCTTTCTTCAGCCCTTCTGAGTGTTGCATACCTGCACACAAACTTAATATACCCTGCACCACAAATGGTGTAGGGTATAAGAAGGCACAAAAAGATAACAAGACCAGCTTTACCGTTCGCAAAAACATATGGTTAGGATCTATGTGCGATTGCGTTTAGGATGACGGGGATAATCAATTATATTGTGCCCGCAACGCAAATTGAAAGAAAAATACATATTTGTTCAAAATTTGACACTTTTAACGCATTCCCCTAGAAACTACACTTTACGAACTAACCCTAACCATATTTCATTTGATTGACTTCAAATGTTTGGCTTCAACGAGATAAGATAATATAAGATTTAAAAGATTTTTTTCAAAATTTTAATATTGATCTTAATTAATGGATGATTTTTGAGCAAATTTTTTTATTGACGATAATTTTTACACCGTACACCATTTGTGGTACAAGAGCATATTAGGCTTGTGCGGGCATACGCAAAACACTAAAGAACTTGAGACTAAGTAAGCTTTTATCGTGCAGAATCACTTTCTGAATCGATTTAAGCTTGTCTGTCTATCTGTCCCTCTTGTTGTCTTGTGTCCGGTCGCAAATTTTTGAGATATTTTAATGAAATTTGATACATTAACATTTTAGTGCACAAGAACGAAAACTATTGAAAATAATTCGGATCGGACTACTTTCCATATAAAGCTTTATTTTGAAAAGTCCTTATATGAATAACTGAAAGGTTGTGGTCCGTGGACGACTATAATGTTTCTATTTATTTCAAATCATTTTTTAAAGAAAAATCTTATGACTGTTTCTAAATTTTGTACACCCTACATCATTTGTGATACAGGGTATATTAAGTTAATGCGGACGTATGTAACAGCCAGAGGGGCTTAAAGCAGACCCACTTTTGATTATAACGATCGATTCGAGAATCGTTTTCACTCATTTGATCTAAACCTGTCTGTCTCTCTGGTTGTCCGACTGATGCCTGATATGGTCTGATGATGGTCTGTCTGCGGTAGAATTTGAGCGTTCTAAAAAACAGATGTGAAAAATTTAGACCAGCTAGGGCAGTTTTTTGATCTCCGTCTCATAAAACCGTAGGCGAATAACTAAGACTCCCAGATTTCAAGAACTACTAGGCCTCCAAGTTGTTTTTGAAAAATGTGAAAGAAAAAATTTCATTTTTTATCTATTTTAGGATTTTTACTTCCATAGACTAAAAGGTCAAATATTAATTTTTATTTTGTTAATATACTTTCTATAAACACAGGATAATGTTACCTCATCGAATGTCCTCCTTTTTAATACCAAACATAAAGGTTATGATTTAATCGCGATCGCGAATATTTCAAGCAAAATCGATCGAGCCGTCTTTGAAGAGATTGATCACGGGCGATAAAAAAGTGAGACGAAAGAAAACGATCATAGTCATCATCATAGTAGCAATATTATATGTTTGATAGAATCCGAAGCGAATTGTGGATGATGGGCTGCTATAAACTGTTCGGATAATTGATTTCATTTTCTATTGCCAATGATCAATGCGCTTAAAACGGAGAATTGATCAATTGATAAATGATGAATTGATCAACAGGAAATTCATCGTTCTTCTTCACAGTAATGATGCGATTATATATCAAATTGAAAGACTTTACCTCACCCATTATCCATAGTTCTCGGGAAGGTTAACCTCGGCCACATCCATAGCATCACATTAAAGCCAAAAAATAAGTAGAAATACCACCTCACAATTTGTTATTCTTATCTCGACTTTTCAAAATAAAGTGTTATATTTGAAGCGGTCGATAAAGCGGTTCGATCTAAAATCCTTGGGCCGAAGCAAACCAAAGTAAAGAAATGAAATTAAAACATCTCAAAAATTGTGGCCCATGGGTTGACCATAAAAAACAAGACGGACAGACGGACAGTCAACTTTATAAAGATCGGTCTAACTCAAGACGATGCATACATCTGCGCACACCAAGGGTATATACCCTTATACAACAAGTGCTTTTAGTTAATGGCCTTCCTTCGATGAGGTATTTTTGAAAACTATGTTTCAGTTAGACGGCTAGCGCAACTGCTCGGCTATTTTTCTTAGCTTCTTATGTACGAAGACCGATGAAAATGGACTTCATCATTCCGTATAATTTTATTTCAAATTTCATCTTTTTCTTCTTGCTGTTGTTCTTCTTCTTCTTGTGTTCGGGCAGCGAATGTGCTACGCATTCATCTGAGTGCCCCTCAACTTTTGTTTACCAAATGTTAGAATACCGCAAAATCTTGATGACACTTCTTGTTGAACGATCCTCTATGAATGTGTAGATCTATCTTTGTACATATGTATGTATGGATGGAAAAACTCAACCCATATTAAATTGGAATCGATCAGTTAACAGCACCGCTAATGAGAAAACTTTCAATAAATTTCATGTATGTCTACTTGTAACCTAACAAGCTTCAAATCGGAAAAACTTTCGTACTTTGTTCAATTGAAATGAACGGATAAACAGTTAATTGCCTTCCTAAGCGGGCTGAAGAATAATGCATCTTGTCATCTGAATTATGAATCCAAACGCTTGGCGTGAGAAGAAGTAAAGTGAAGTAAAATAATTTAAGAAGAAAAAAACCTAAATAACTTAACCTAAATGACTTTGCTTTCAAAGTTCTTCATAAAATGTAAAAACACCTATGCGTAACCTCGATATACAGATGTTAAATGGAGAGGCGTCCACAAAATCTTAACAGGGATCATGAATATTCTTTTGCAAATTTTTTTTTTTGCATTTACAGATGTTTATGGCAACGAACCGTTTACAGACGTGGGTAAAATTAATGAAAATTTATCGGTAAATCGCTTAGTATTTAAAGTGATAATCGGGCTTTTACTAGAGTTGAGTTTACCTTTATGTTCGCGATGGTGGCATTGACAAGGGGACAAGGGCCGTGCGTGTTTAACTTTTTTTGTTCTAATGTTTGTTTAGTATTTTATGGGAGAATTTTAGTTTTTATTTTTTATTTATTTTTTTTTTTTAAATAATTGATTTTACTTGTCAGATATACCAGTCAGTTCTTCTAAATTGAATTCGATAGAAACCAATAAACATGTACCCATGCATTTGCCATTTGACACTTGGAACGACGACGACTTGTGCAACTTGTGCATAAATTTGCTTCGCTTCTCTGTGCAATTTCGCAGATAACATCCATGCATTCATTCATTCTAGAGGATAAACAATATTATTATTATTTTATTTATTTATTTTTTGTTTTCATCATCATCATCATCATCGTCGTCATATTGTAATAAAACAATGTAACTAAATAGAAAAAGAAAAAGAAGGGAAAAACAAAAAATGCAAACAAAAAACAAGTGAAATACGTATTTTGAATGGAAATAAAAATAAGAAAATTTTTTCGAAAACCACACACTTAACTAAAACTGAAACGTATAATGAAACGTGTTGGTATTCCTCTACTCTTTTGACGAAAAAATAAAACAACAACAACAACAACAACGTTATCAATCGAGCACTTTAACAATAGCAATTATTACAGCAACTGTTAATATTTAAAGTTATGTGCAAAAGAGAAGAAATAACAAAATGAATATATATATGTATGCGCATGCATGCGTACGCGCGTGTATATGCATGTGTATACATATATAGACGCATACGTACATATATATATATATATATGTACATATATGTATGGAAATTAATTGATCCCACTAACCAATAACTTCTTAATCATGATAGCTAAACAATTGATGACGTTTTAAAAAAAAAAAACAAGTGTTATGCTGGAGAGTGCGCTGGCGTTAAATAATTTCAATGCTTACGTCTATCAATAATTACTCGTGTGTTACGTGTGCATGCCTATATGCATGTGGATGGGTGTGCGCATATGAGCCTCGAAATTCCAGGCTCTGAATTTCAGAATTTAAGAATAGAAGAGGATAAGTAAACGCTCGACTTGGAATTTGCAGTTCACTCGCACGCGTAATCATAATCGTAAATAGCGCAGTAGCAAGATGACCGTTTCCTACGCGGGCGAAGTGCCGAATGGCAGTAGTTTTGGCTGCTTTTGGAAAATTCTATGGAAGTAAGTACGCGAACCTTACTCTAACTCAAAACTAAACATTGAAAACTCGCTTTCAATTATTATTTTATTATTTTTTATTTATTTATTTATTTTATTTTATTTATTTATTTATTTTTTTTTTTTTGGTGTGTTTTTTTGTGCTTTATCCGAAGATCATGCAAAGTGAATGAATAATTAGCATTGCAAATTACTGAGAATATATATATATATATATATACATATATATATACATATACATATATATATATATATATATATATAGAGAGATAACGAATCTTTAACAATGATTACGATAATTTTATTTTTAATTTTATATTTTTCCTTTCTTAATTGTTGAGTTAGTTAAAAACAAAAAAAAAAAAAATAAAAAAAAATTCTTACATTAATTATTTTAAGAAAAGCATCCTCTTGTATTAGTAATAATTAGTGACATAAATGAAAATCGTTTCCAGCAGAATTGGAGGGGATAGGCTCAAAAAAATTAAAAATTAAGATTAAAAAAAAATATTTTTCTCTTTTAAAAATTTAAAAAATATGTTATTTTTTTCTTTTTACTGTAAATTTAATTAATTTACAAAAGAAATTTTTCTATGGCTTACTTCCGTGGTTATCATCGTTTTTGAGTGCATTCCGTAATTTCTTTTAAAAAAAATGTTTTTTTTTTTTTTTTTGGTTTAATTACAACAAAAACAGTTTGTTTTTATATTTAAATTATTAAATATTTTTTAAACGTTAAACCAAACTTTCTTATATAAATACTTTATTGAATAGTCATAACTGCTTAACTGATACCGCCATCATTTAAAAATGGACATTCAATTTTGTGCGCCTCTTTCTTACCCGTTCATATATTATATATGAAGCAATAGGTTCTGAGATTCTGAGACGAACTAACAAAGTCCCGTTACCCATCTTTGCCCTAACTCTAGTTGCAACTTTTACCTCTGCAACCAGACGCTATCCATGGGCTGAAGCCAAAGTAACTTCAAATTTATAGTAAATATTGATAAAAAAAAAAAAATAAAAAAATTTATGCAATAATCGTCCTAATAGTTCAAGTTGTATATTTTTAATTAATAAAATATTTTATATACATCGCTTGATGGGGTGATTGTCCGACATTAATCACAAAATAAGCATAAATTTCTTTATCTTATTTACTTACTTCACGCGTTGGATATTAAATAGCAAAATGGAAATTTTTTTCTTATTGCGTCTATCAATAGAATCAGAATTCACGCAAGTGAGATCAAAATAAAAAAAAAATAAAAAAAAAATAAATAAATAAAACAGTATTTTAAGTGAATAATTAATTAAAATATTGGAAAATTCCTGGCAGATAGTGCTCTTGATATTGAAGTTGGCACAACGAGTATGGATTAGAGCCAAACAAATAGGTTTCTCCAATTAGCACATGTGAATGGATTTTGTAATATAGGGATGAAATCATCATCACATAGTGTCTTTTTATCTATTGTGTGGCCCTTCTATCTTTCATAACCCATTCAATCGCCCTAGTTGTTGATGTGCCACTCAATACACACTAAAACATTACATCCACTCGATCCCATTCAGATGAGGATGAAAATGAATATTTGTGATTTCATTATCAATATTAATGACTAGTTTGCATTGCGTACATTATTTTGTTTTCTTGCTTTTCGAATTTTTCCACCATTGTAGCGCTTCTTCATCATAATACACGATAAACATCTATTGAATCTCCCTTGCTTGAAGGTAAAGCACTATCTACTACTACTACTACTACTACTAGCATGCTTTAGCTGCACGAGGATCATCAAAGAAGTGATTGCAATAATAGCAAGAACCGAATTCAAATTTATTTTCATTTTACATTCACTTTCGGAAGCTTATAATCGATGACGTCATATTATCTAATACACTACACTATAGTGCTAGTTATGTCCTTTGCTCAAAGTGCGGCAAACTATATATGCGCAGAACCATCAAAGTTATTTTTATAGAAAGTGAATAAAAACTGCACCTGTAGAGTTGACAAAGTCAAGTAAGAACTTGATGAGTATCGAAACTAAAACTCCTTTTTTTTTTACATTCCTTATATAATTCTAACAATTTTGTTCAATTCGCAGTGCGCTTGAAATCAAAAGAAAAATTTTATTTAAAAAAAAAAAAAAGTAATTTTGCATTTTCTCATTCCTCATTGATTTATTCAAATATATTACAATGAAAATATAAAAAGTAAAAATAACGAATAACAACATTAAAATATTTCTATAGATGAACGTGTTATAACATCAATTTTCATAAGCAATAGAAAAAAACATAAAAAAACTTTTATTACTGTGCAGTTTAATTCATTACTGCGTCTCAAAGTCAATGCAATGTTCTTTACGAAATTATTTCTTCATTTAACAAAGGTTTCTGATGCAATCAATGTTGATGTCTCATTAACGATTCCATTTGTAAAGCAAAAATACCATAGTGTATTCGCCTTTGAACGTCTGCCACCAACCAAGCAATTATGTAAATATCACATTTTCAACGGCTTGATTGTTCCTTTATCATATTAAAATGAAATGTCATAAGCATTCAATTCTTGCAGTTTGTCCTCTTTTTTGTCCTATTATAAGCTTCACATCTTTCATAAAAGAAATCCAACTTTTCGCCATCAACATTCAAGACTTCCGACTTGCCGGCTTGACCCAGAACAGTAAACAAACCTACTTATCTCAATCATATATAGTCCATCAATTCGATCGCAATAAACATTTTTTTTATGTTTTTTTTTAAAAAAAAAAAAAAAAAAAAAAAAAAAAAACATCTTTGCTTTCGTCATTGATTCAACGTAATTTTATGTGGACGTCTCTTAAGATCTTTGCCTAAAATACGTCCCGAGCTAATCATAAAAATATCACGTTATGACCATCCTACGCATCCTCGCCTTATTCCTTCTCTCCTTCTCTCCTTCGTTTGAATGAAGTTGAATTGTTGAGAAATGATTTAGATACTAAAAATTAGAATACGCTTCACGATATACACATCAGTCAAAGTCAAAGAAAAAAAATAAAATAAATAAAAATATATATATATATATGTATTTTTCGAAAGGCCGATTGATCTTCGGCTTAATCGATTAATTCATTTATTTCATGTTAGAAAAGAGAAAGATTTTTAATGAAATAGCTAAACTGGCCACGAATGGGGGAATAGTGCTCAAATGGTTTTTAAATTACCCGAATGATGTGATAAAAATTGACGTCATTTGCATAAACTAATCGCCTAGAAATTGAGATGGAAATGCAAAATTTGGAATACGTTGATAGGCCAAAGAATAATAAAAGATGAATTTCCCCTATTACCTGTTATCCTGTGGCGTAGATTTATAAGTTCACATATCAATTTTCATGCAAATAGTTTGATCAAAAATTCTCCCATAATTATGGGATGGGAAAATTCTAGAAATTTGTACTACACTACGCCAAGCCTAGAAAAAAAAAATTGTTAGGATCTAATAGTTATGATGAAAACGCATTCGTTAATGCAACAAAAATGTAGATAATTTGTTTGCTCTCGTTGTGGCAATTATGATGTCAAAGATAGATTTCACTTTAGTCTGATCATTTATTGAGAAAGTTGATAAAATCGTGTATAAAGTCGAAGAAGACTAAGACCTAAACAACCATTACATTGCAAAGGAATTAAATATTGATCATAAATTAGTTTAAAGCCATTCGTTTAAGATTTGATACACAAAGAGGTTTAGCTACCGCATGAACTCTCGATGAGAAACTTGATTGATCTCTCGCTCTTGCAGCGAATCGACCCAGTTTCGATCTCGAGCAATTCATTATTGATAATGCAATGTAGTCACAATACGAAAATATAATGAAAAAAAGAATCGTAAGCAACGCTTCAAAGTCTGAACTGATCTCTAAATAAAGTTACTTTATGTATATGCCGGAATTGAAGGGGAACCACAAATGTCAATATTCTCGAGCCATGATAAAAGCCCAAGCGGATTTTAATGTCTATTATCAGCAAATTGCCAGCAGCAAGCACCAAGGGAATGAATGACATGATAATGCAGCATATCGTGGCAATGCCCGACCATGCAAATCTTTGATGACCGAGCAAGAATTGCAAGGGCTTGAGTGGGAAATTTTGAATCGTCCACGCCAAAGCCCAAAATTTTCACCATCCGCATTTCACTCTATGCTGAGCTCATTTAATGATGTAAAGGTCGCCTCAAAGAGAGTTGGAAAAATTATCTATGACCGTTACACAGTTACATGAAATCCGTTTTGAATGCAAGTAAAATTTAATAAAAAAAATTTCGATAGGTCTCTCGAATCATTTTTTCGACGCCTGTAATGAGCGCTTAGTTGAATTCTACAAAACGCGATGAGACTTCGTAACAATCATGAGAACACGGCGAATACAGTGCGATGATTGTCATCCGTCTGTCGGTGGAATGAGAATTTTTATTCACCTGAGCCTGGCCAAATAGGCAAAGGATCTCGACTAACAAATTTAAGTTTTCAATAAAGATGCGAACCTTAGATGAATATTGATGCTATTACTTTAAGCTTTTAATCTTAGAATTTATTTCTATATAATAAATACAATTGTTTTTATTCAAAATAATTTTAATAAACGTAAATTCTCAAGTTCCCGAATCAGTTCCATACAACATGCGAGAGAAGAAAGAACAGTAGATCAACATTATGATAATGTGATGACTCAGTAGCGAATTATTAAATACTTGTAAAAGTAGCAAAATTAATGACCATTATTTATTGCGACAAAAAAAATAAAAAATAAAAAAAATTCCATTTAAAAATAAAGAACAATAAAGAAAAAAAAAAAAAAAATAACAGATAGAAAGAAATTAAGGAAACTTGAAACGATAATATTAATTATTTTAAAAAAAATAAAAAAATAAAAAAAAATAAATACCAAAATCAAATAACTGAATTATAAATTAAAGTAATTTACGTAATTAATCAGTCGATTAATTACACTTCAGCAGACTGACTGTAAATAAGCAGAGAACAAAAAAGAAAAATTAAAAAACAGACTTGAAAAATACATTTTTTTTGTTTTTTTTATTTTTAATATTTAATAACTTTATATTATTAAAATATGGTCATCTCAATTTTTGGGAAAATTTCTTTTCCATTTATAATTTTATACTAATCAGAGTTTTTGCTTATTCCTTATGGTTTTTTTTTTGTTTTGTTTTTAGATGGCGTGGCAGTGTTTATAAATTAGTTTGGCGAGAATTAATTGCTTATTTATGTTTGTATTATACAATAAATTTAGTTTACCGTTTCGCTTTAAATGAACAACAACAAAAGTATGTATACCGTCGAGTGCGCAAATTACTTCCCATAATTAATTTGTTTTTTTTTTTGTTGTTGTTCTTGTCATTGCTGTCGTTGTTGTTGTTGTTGTTGCTGCTGCTGCTGCTGCTGCTGTAATTGTTGGTTTTTTGTATATATGAACGTACGTAGAATATTTTATAAGATACGTGCATATTTTGGACAACAAAGTGAAAGTATACCGATGTCCTTTGTATTGGGTTTCTATGTTAATTTGGTCGTCAAACGTTGGTGGGAACAGTACAGATTATTACCGTGGCCCGATACCTTGGCTCTATTTATAAGTGCTGCTATACCGAATTCTTCGGGTGGTGTTAATGTAAGTAAATTGTAAACATATTATAATTTTTATTAATATATATATATATATATACATATATATTCATGTATGTTCCAAATCCTTGAATAAAAACAGAATGAAACTGGCCGGTTAATGCGAAGGAACATAATGAGATATATGGTCTTGGCCTATGTGATTACTTTACAACGTATATCGTTAAGAGTGAAACGTCGCTTTCCTACTACCCAACATCTTGTCGATGCCGGTCTCATGCACGAGTCGGAAATGAAAATTTTTGAATCACTTAATCAAAAGAGCCCAATGTCCAAATACTGGATGCCCTTAGTTTGGGCAACAAACATTATAAATCGGGCCCGTAAAGATGGTTTAATTGCATCCGATCACATTGTACAAACCATACTAATGGAATTGTCAGATATAAGACGTCGATTAGGTGGTCTTATTGGTTACGATACCGTATGCGTTCCGTTGGTCTATACCCAGGTAAACGAAAGTAATAAGAAAATATGCGCTAAAGTACATTCTTTGCCAATGAACTGATATCTTAAACATAATGATTTTTTATTTTTTTTTTTTTTTTGTTCATTTTTAGGTAGTCACTTTGGTGCTGTACACATATTTTATTGCCGCCCTATTAGGCCGTCAAATGTGCCCAGAATTGCCAAATCGTGACGGCAAAGAAGATTCTGATTTATATTTTCCTTTATTCACAGTGCTCCAGGTAAATGACTTTTCAATCTCGCTACATGTTTTCTTATTACTAATAACTAATCATTTCAAAAATTGGATTTATATCTACATATATATAAAAAAAAAGAAAAAAGTTTAAAAGAAAACCATAAAATTATATTTGTATATCCTATCATAAAAGGTGGTAATGGTCGGGCTTTTTTTTTTTCATTTCTGTGAACCGCACTATCCACTAACCAGATATAGAATATAGATGGAAATGTTAATAGAGTACATCTGTTATGGTTTAGAAATAATAAGCAAAAAAAGCAGAAGGCAGACATATCCATAGGTTTACGTTTGCAGGTTTCGCCGTTCAACCCGATTTCAGTTTGCTTGTAAGAGTAATTCCATGTTTTTGCCAAACTTGCCACCGGGAGAACGTTTAATATATTGAAATGAGTAAAACATGAATGAATCTTTACGGTTGACAATTTGCTACTATTCAAGAATAGATAGATATACGTTTGACGGTCCCCGATGTTTGCTTACATAAGTCGTAAATGGTTTGACAAGAACTGTATACTCCACATCTTTAGCGGTGCAAATAATAATTGCCAAAAATCTATACGTCATTCATTTTGTTTTTAATGAATTTGCTTAACGAAGAGAAAAAAGAAAAAAAAAATGTGTAAAAAATCCGTTCCTCGGAAGAATTTCTTCTTGCCACAACGTACTCCGTTCACGAGACTTTAAACTCGGTTGGATGAAATAAAGTTGGTGAACAATTATTTCGTTTAAATGCGTAGTGAACATTGAAAAATGCTAGAACGCAATTTATTCCACGAAATAGTAACGAAAGTCACACTAAATTCACTTTTAATCTCTCGCGAATGATTATACATATAATAATTAATGTACTAATAAATTCATTTCGTAGTTGACATTTGACAACCCTGTTTCGGCAACATATGTAAAACAGAACTGTCACGCAGGCTATCATATGTTTCGTGTAATATTTGCCATTTTTGAATATGGATCGTTTAACAAACATTGAAACGTGAAACGTGTTAAAACGTTGACTGATTCTTTAGTAGGTACATTACGTGCATTAGGAACAGATTTTGGTCAACATAAGTGCCCATCGAAGCGTACTATAGGCAAACCGTGAAAAGATTTAAGAAAACTGACATTAGTGATAGCGTCCAAGAAGATCCAAATTTATCCATTCACAGCATACTTGCACAATTCAGCTAACACAAGAACTGAAGCCGCTTAACCATGCATCCCATAGAAGATACCATGTTTAGTTGTTTGAGATTGACTTTTCGCTTGATGGATGTATCAACATAGAGAATTGTCGCATCTAATGTAATGAAAATCCAAATCCAGTCAAGTAATTGTCGAAAAATCGTTGCATTCCCAGCAAAGTCATAATCTATTTGTTTGGCATTTGCTCCGGAAGTAAGATATGCCTGATCTTTCTTCACGGGATATGACGGTAGTGTAGCACAAATCGTCAGTTCTGATCGTCATAGCCACGGCCTTACCAATGCTTTCTTTCTTTGACGTGAGGCTGGATGATAAGGACACGAGCCATACAATACGGACCGGTTTGGTATTGTTTCGCGAGAGACTTCACGTTTTGATGATGTGAATTGGCCACCAAAACCCTGCGATTTCTCACCGTTGGACTTTCTTCTGTAAGCATACTCTAAAGGTCGAGCTTATGCGAATTATCCTCAACTTTTTAACATTTCGAAAATGAAGATAGGTCAAATTATGGAGTATCTATCACTCACTATGTGCAGACAAGGCATCAAAAATTACCTCCTATAAAATATTCCCTTGAATCCATTTGCATCTTGTTGTACTCCATAAATGATCTAAACAGGATGTTGAAAACAAATTTGATCAAAATCTCGATCAGAAATATATTTTATTTACGTTCACATTCGGATCCGCAAAATGGATAAAGTCGACAAACTATATTCGATTTTTCTATATCCAGCTTTACTGCAAACAAAGCTATGGCAAATTTATATCAAATCGTTAGCATTAAGGTGCATTAGACTCTTAAATCTAGATAATTGCACATGATTTATAGTTATTTCTCCTCCTCCTGCTTATTTTCTCCGAGTATATACTTTTTAAATATTTTATCTTCTTATTAATTATGATTTACGAAATAATATCAATAAAAGATTTCATAGGCTTGGCTGTCTAGCTGATACAACGGCCTTCCAGCTTAAGTAAGTTCATGGGCAAATGTTCAGTATATTTTGATAGCTCATCAACTGATATGTACGTATATGTATATATATATATATATATCGCTTTACAATACGCACATCAAGATAGAAAGCCGTAGCTAAGCGCCTATATTTGTAATTCAGTTCTTTAAGAGTAAGATTTTAAAAAGTTCTACATACAAGTTCTGAATGAATGGCTGGCCCCTAGAATCAAATCAACATGAAAAAAATACATGAGTTGTAACTCTTAGAGGCTTCGCCTATCCTAAGACCGTTTACAAATAATGGAAAAATCAACGAGATATAAATAATTCTCTCATGTAACTAATTTTGTTTTGTAATTGAAATTGAATTTTGCAGATACCTGCTCCCGCCACTGAAAAACATTACATAAGATTAACGATGTAGGATATGAATATTAGTAGGAAAAAAATAAGTAAAAAAATAATAATAATTAAAAAGAAAAAAACAAACACAATTTATAAACAAAACCCATTTTAATTGCAACCTGTTCAATAAACGTCTCTCATATGTATTCGTAGACATATGTATTCGGATGCGTGCAAAACGATTAAATATTAATCAGTAAATAAGCTACGTTCACCTTAAGGCGAATCTTAGCAACCCATCAATTCAGCTACAGATCAATAAACAACAAAAAAAAAACATGAAAGCCTTCCCTATTAATTATAGACGAAAATTATTTGCAATAAATTTAAAGACAAGATCTGACCCATGGATCTGCCTAATAAGTTGTACGAATCTTATAAAAATTCTTAATTTCTTTACGAGATTCTATTGAGTGCGGGGAGCCTCTTTCAATTTCTTACACGCCCCTCACTGCCTATAATTGATTTTGTCAAATGTCAAGACTTCCCCAGACTTGCTTACTTCTTAATCTATCCATTTTTTTAACATTACATTGCCAGAAAGGAAGTCAAAGAAAAACCAAGATCAAGCCATAAATATGTGTTCCATTTTGCTCAGCTAGTAGTAGGTATAGGTTTGAAATATATGCAAAAAATATATAAGAGTTGGGTTCAAAAAAAGTCATGTCTTTTTTGCTTTTCGTTGTATATGCTCGCGTTGTGCCTTCCAATCAAATCGCGTTGCAAACTTGAATAATTCGAACTGAATTGACTTGAAATCTTATATCGACAAAGAGCTTGGATTTGTATATATATGTGTATATATGATCCATAGTTGTAAGTGTTGCAAACGGGATACCAAAACTAATGTTTCGATAGTATGTTCAATAAATTGCAACCACGCGTACATTTAGAAAAATTAGCAATCGAGTGAAGTGTACGTAGCGTGAGTGGAAAAGCATGCTTAACCGTGTAATAAACATTATTTTAATAAGCCTATAAATAATTTTTTTTACATTTGTTATTAATTAATTAATTTTTGTAGAAATTATATTTATTTAATTAATATTTCAAGTTGATTTTTGACGCATTGCAACCGATATTAAGAGAGCTTACAGCATCTAATTATTAATAATAAATTTTCATTTTTATAAATTACATTGAATTATTATTAATCAAATTACATATATATATATATATATATATATATATTATATATATCTATAAGTAAATAATAAATACATTCTCAGGTAAAATTATTATTCATTATCTTACAATTTCTCTCAACTTATCGATAATTTGTTCCAGTTTGTTTTCTATGTTGGTTGGTTGAAAGTCGCCGAAGTGCTAATCAATCCATTCGGTGAAGATGACGATGATATTGAACTAAACTGGTTGATCGATAGGCATATTAAGGTGAGTAATAGCGCGATAAACCCTAAATTCATTAATTACTCTGAACTTTTAACGGCCATTCAATGAATGATTCAATGAAGTTCAACGAAATAGGGAATTATTATAAAATAGAATATAAACACAAATGGACCAGGCAAACAGGTGCACTATATGTATAGGCAATAGGTCGATTTGTGTTTGAGTTGAGAATTAAAAATTCATTTAAGGCATATCTTGAAAATTTGTAACGAAAGCAGCTCTGCTCTGGTGCCGACCAGGTATCTTCTTGTTTCGTTATTGCTTTAAAAGAGGCATCAGTGACACGCTTACACTGCATAACACGAAACGGCCATAACTCTTTCATTTGTTTCAACCTTTTCACTCTACGCGACTTGCGATACAAAGTTATTGTGATATTAAGTTAGTGCGATCGTATATAACACACAGAAGGTCTTAAGATAGACACATCTTTTCTAATTTAAGCCTGTCTGTCCGTCTGTCCATGTGAATTATTGTGCTTAAGCTAGAGATCGCAATTTTTGAGATATTTTTGTTCGACGATATTTAGTACAAGTCAAACACTATTGAAAATGGTTCGAATCGGTCCACTTTTTCGACCAATCCTCACATAACGACCTATTCAGAAAAATGCCTTTAGATATTATTTTTTCTTGTGTTCCATAATAAAAAAAAAAGCAAATTGGGTTAGACAGTGTGCGGTAGGGTGTTCAATGGTCGACCTTGCCCGACTATAATAATCTTACTTTTTTATTTTCCTTTATTTATAATCTCTTTTTGTATAAAATACTTTTTTACCTTTAATATACTTATTCAGGGAATTTTGGTCATTTCCCATTAATTGTGCACTGGGGATCTTTGCATTTTGCAACCAGTTTGGTTAGTTTTTTTTTATTTCTTTTTTCTTTTTTTTTTTTTTTTTGAAATTTTCAAAATAATCTTAAATCACTATTATTACAACAACAGCTTTGAGTTATTTTTAGCACGTGCTATATACAGCTTTATATGATAAACACATATACATATGGCCATATTTACATAGATATTTATGCATTGGTATTCGTTGAGAAGATTATACAATGCAGAGGGCATTTGGTTTAAAATTGTCTTAAAAAAAGAAAATAAATAAATAAAACATTTTATTATCATTCTTGGGGCGAGTTTGTTTGTTGCTATTCGTAAGACACGGATGCGAACGTTTCGAATTGTTTAACTTGAGTTACCACGCATACTTCGACCAATCCAGTTCCAATCATCTTGTTGCACAAGTAAGAACATTATATTCACCTAGGGATGGAACTCTTTTTTCTATCACCCCGAAAGTAAATAAAAAGATGATAAAATTATTTCGACTTCTTCAAAGTAAAATGTTGGGGACAGACGAAAAAGTGGACCGCTCTAATCCAATTTCCACAAAATTTTAGTCTTCATTCAGATCAAGTCGTCATTATGATCCGTAAATTGAACGCAAAAATACTTTGACAGACGGACATACGCCAAATTTGAATAGGTTCAGAAAGTGATTCTGAATTGGCTGGTGGAGTCTATCTCCATCCCCACTTTATATTATACTTTTTTTTTTACTTTGTACGACAAGAAATCTGAAGCTCGAAATGAACATTGAACATAAACGATTCCTATGAAAAGAGTTACTCATTGACGACCTTGAAAGGTGCCATCATATCAAAAAAGCTCATTACGTTTAGTAAGGTGGATGAAGCAGGGTTTTGAAACGAATGATTCTTGCTTTAACTGTCTTGTCCATTGTTCCTTGCAGCCATTCTCATTATCACTCTCATTATTCCATGGTTCGTAATATATATATATAATTTAGTTCAACTGGTTTATTTCCCATTATTTTCTTCTTCTTTTTTTTTTTTTTGACGAGTTTTCGGAAATCAGAATACAAGCTCTAGGCCGGAGATATGCATGAAATTAATTCGTATTAATAATTGAATAGAACTAAACAACTTTTGTCTAAGCGCAGAGTTGTGGTTAAAAGTTTGCTTTTACCTGAAATTTTCCAATGAGGTAAAATCTTGGAAGATCGCGACATTATTGATATTTAGGAAGTCATCTGCGGCAAAAATGATGATGTTAAATATTGATGAAATTATAGTTGCTTGTCATTTGTCTTTTGAATAAAGCCAAGGCGCAACATTTGATATAAAAGCAAAAAATTATTAATTGGAAAGAGAAACATTAAATACAAGAAAGAAATACATTATGTTATGCTTTATTAAATTGAGTTAAAAGGTGGAAAATGAATTTTTGTCTATTCTACTCGTCAAGACATTTTATTTGATAAGGGCTAAGGGTTAAGAGAACGATAGTCCGCCATTTTGACTTAAACGCATTGCATTATCGTCGAAACGAGAAGTGAATATCGTCGATATCTTACCATGATTAGACATACGGTAATGCCCGAAATATCGACTGTCTGCGTTCTCCGTTTTTCGCACGCGTCGACACTGATACACATGGCATTGTCGTCATAACTAAAAAATTTATGCAAAATTTCGGCACAATTGGATATGTGAAAGTGCCCGACATATCGATTGAAAGTTTTCATGCTAACAGGAAAGCAAGTGAAAAAAAAAAAAAAAAAAAAAAAAAAAAAACGAATTCGCTTAACTGTCTGTTCGTAAATGAAAAGGAAGGAAAGCATATAGAAAATGCATTAATAAATAATACAATTACTAATGAAAGTGAATGTGAATGAACGAACGCGCAACTCGTGAGTAGAATACAATTCCGAAAATAATTCTAAATTAAATTATTGATCAGTTTTATGACATATTCATGCCTATACGCATGCATGCATGCATGCATGCATACTCTAATAATTAACATATTAGCATATGTTTAAAAGGAGGAGGACAAGTTTAATTGATACGTGCACCTGTTTGAAATATTCGAGGAGCACGTAAATACATAGAGATGAACATATATATATATATATATATATATATATATAATTAGTTAACAAAAATGAACAAAATATTGCGAACATTATTTTTTATATAAATTTAAGCGAATATTTGAAGGTTGTTCATTTTATGTAGGAAAGAAAAAAAAAAAACAACAACAACAACAAAGCAAAGCAAAAAACAAAAAAGTTTCAACCAAAAATAAAAATGCAATATATTATTATCGTTATTACCAGACGATGTGACGAACGGACATGTTAAACATGTTACCGGTTTCTGTGTTTTTCTCCCTTCTTTTTTTTCATTCTATTAAACAAGGCCAAAAACGCTTGTGACGATATTTACAAAAAAAACAAATCAATAAATAAATTCAAAAAAGTTTATCTGTATATATATATATCATGCTGAGTAGGAAGGCAACGAGAAAGAAACAGAAGACATTTATCATTAAAGAGAAAATGTAATGATTTTTAGGCGGCTTATATGATAGTTGATGAAATGCATGAAGAGCATCCTGAATTGTTAAGAGATCAATATTGGGAGTGTGTTGTGCCCAAAGACTTACCCTATACAGTGGCTTCGGAGCATTATCGCAAGGATGAACCTAAGGGTTCAGCGGAAAACTATAAAGTGAAAAAAGAAGACGCCATGTATGCGAATATAGTACCGGGAGGCGGCAAGCGTATAGTGACCGATGACGTTTATGCTGATTACGTAAGTTTTTATCAATCTATTAATGCTTGCAAATAAATTAAAATACTTTTCTCTTTCCTTTCATAACAAAAACAGGAGAGCGTTGACACCCCTATGGTGGAGAGACGTAAAAATAATTGGTTAGTGCGACAATTATCACGTATGGGCTCTATGCGGAGTCAGTCGACAGCGTATTCCTCAGGTGGTATGGCCTTTAATCGAAATCGTTTAAATTCCGTGTATTCAAGTCCAGAATCCGGTCTGCCAATGACGATTATTCAACAACAGCAATCGCAGCATCAAGTGCAACAACAAATGCAATCTAAGCCGAGCCTGTACGAAAAATTTGTTCATCGTAAATCTTTACGAGCTCAGCGGCAATTAATCAAACAGAGTAAGCGCAAGATTCCAGTTGCATTTTTATTATTACTTTTAAATGGCTTAGATAGATAGAGATAGCTGTCGCTATTCTGTTTAGAAATTTTTTTTAAAAAAAATTTGGGTTTTGGGCTCTTTATTACTTTATTCTTTGTTTGTTCTTTTCCCTTTCGTTGCGAATGGCATCGCTTCAATTAGACACTCGCTTAAATGGTTTGAATGTAAATACCTCAAAAACACGCCCTCGCATCCCCACACCAGATGTTTCCAAGGAAACTAACGATTCTAATGGTAATTAACAGGCTGTTAAATGAAAAGCACTTTTATTTTTTTTTTTCATTTTTTGGTTTTTTTTAATTTTTCGTTTTTTTTTTTTTTTTTTTTTTTTTGTTTTCCTTTTGTAAATTTATTGCACTTGTTATAGCCAATGCCAATGCAGCAGTAATAATGACCACTACCACACAACCTCAATTAAGCACTCACACCACCATGTACTCCCCGTACACGAGCACTGGCAATCAAGACCAAGGTCAGGTGTTGGGCACTTTGTTGTTGTCACCCATTAAAGAAATAGATAGCTCATCATCTAACAATACCTTGATTCCAGGGCATCCAAATACCAATGCTTTGGCTCAAGCGGTTATGCCTAGCAATTTAAAGGATATTAACTTTGGGGTAACAGCTTGTAAGTTGAAAATTGAAACAAAATAAATGATGAAATATGTTAATGATGCAAGTAAAAATCTATTATTATTATCTTCTTCTTTTTCGTCTTCTTCTTTCTTAAACAGCTATACCGGTTACCTCGAACATTACAACACTGTCGTTCCCTTTTACAACCAACTCAACCGATACTGCGGCCACATTGAATATCTTACCAATTGCAACAACGCAAATACCGACCATTACAACAACGGCTTCCGGTTTTGATACCAATGACGTTATAACGACTATACCTGTTTCACTATCCATACAGCGTACACCGTCATCGATATCGATTAGCGAGCTGAACAACAGTAACGACAAATCAGATAATAATAATTTGTCAGCAGTCGCGACTCCAGCAGCGACCGCTATTCTATCGGTTAAGCCATTAAACGGTGGCACATCCATATCTCGCAATAATAGCTTTAACGCTAAACTAAACCTTAATATTAGCAACGATTCCTCCCCCTCCTATATGCTTGAACGTGAACAATCTATACGTTCGGAAGGTCGCCCGGATAAACAAGATATTGTTGATAACAGTAACAATAACATAAGTACATCAATAATAACGGCGGCTCATAAATTAACCGCCAAAGAAATGAATTCATTAAATAATGCGAACACCATTTCCGCCCCAACAACTTTAGCCAAGCGAACAGCAGATAGTAAAACTGGTGAAGTCTATGTTTAAAAATAAATAAATAAATAAATAAATAAATAAATAAAATAAATAAATAATGTTTATATTATATCTATATATTTATGTGTGTGTACATATGCAATATAAGAGAATTTTTTTGGCGAAGAAAAAAAACGGTTGTGAAAATGAATCTCTAAAATAATTTAAAACGTGTAGAAATATTTTTAAATGATTGATGGAAAAAAAAAAAAAAAACATTTTAAAATATTCACATTTCGCCTATCGCACATTGCGGCGTTTTTTTTTTTTTTATTTTAATTTAAGCTTTACAACAGAGCAATTTTCATTATAATAGATTAAATGTAAATTTTTGTTTTCTAATTGTATGATTTTATTATTATGAATTAATTAAAACTCCCCTTTAAATTAATAATAAACAATTTTTTTTGTTTATTACATTCTCTCTACCTAAGCTTAATGAAATCTACAAGCGACTCTAAGTCAGCGATATGTAAATAATGATTGCTATCATTTATAAAATAAATTATGTTAAATATGAATTTCTTTTCGATCGATTTTCATCTAATTCAATCGTTTAATGAAATCAAAAATCTTAATTTAATTTCCCGAAAGTCCAGATATTATTCGAATTAAAGTCGAATATTTCTCAATTAAAAAAACAAAAAAAACAAAAAAAAACCCAAATATATTTCGGGTAAATAGCTTATAGAATGCTTTGTAAATATAGGTTTTAAATATAAAAAAAAAAAAAATTGCAATTTTTTTCTTAAAGTATTACGATATTATTCACATATAAATATTTTATTAAAAAAAAAGGATACAATTGCCTACTAACGTAGTCCTACAACATCTATTTTTATTTTTTTCTTTTCTCTCTGGCCTTAAATTCTGATGAATGGTTTTTCCTCGCAAAATTACGTTAAATAAAAAAAATAATTAATATAATATAATAAATTTTTAAGCTTATGTCGCATATTGTGTAAACTCAGTGGCACTTGACATCACCTTAATCGATTATTACATTGGTATCTCTCTGCACAAATGGGAAAAAAATTAATATATAAAATTGTAATACATATATACATATTCGTCTATTCATATATTAAATAGCTTTTTGAATTTTCTCTTTTTACACGGTAAATGCGTCCCTTAGAAATCCGTGCAAAAAGAAATCATATAAGAGAATACATGTAAAATTTAAAAGGAATAGTCGCGCTCAATACGTGTACACACAATTCTCTTTTTACACGGTAGATGCGTTCCTTTGAAATTCGTGCAAAAAGAAATCGTGTGAAATAATGCATGCCACATGGAATATATCTGTTGATATGCCCTAGAAGTTTGAAAAAATCGTGTAAGATGAAAAAAGTCTATATATTTTTTCAAAAAACCGCGCAAAAACGGCATAATGTAATTCATAAACAAAAAAAATTCATTTTTATTACAAAAAAAACTAATTAAAATTAGTGTACCGTGAGTATTCGATCCGTAAATAGAACATAGAAAAATTTAAACTGAAATTAAGAATAAAAATGAATTTGCCAACTATTTATCGCTACTTGATAAGCTTGACGAGCGTGAACTGGTCCAAAAATGCTATCATTTGTCGACATGTCGAAGAATAGAGCAAGTCATTAACATATGTGTGGACATAAACCGGCTGATTTCTCATCACAAAAGTCACTCAATTGCATTTTATGGCTGCACGCATAAGTTTCTAGGAGACACTGGCAAAATTAAAATAAAAAAAAATTGTTTTTTTTTTGGTTTGGTGCTAAAACGAAAAGTTCATATAAAATACTGTATTTACTGTATCATTGGTGAATCGTTCTATTTCAAAATCGTGTAAAAAAGACTTGTGTGTCTCAAAAAAGTTTGTTCCTCTAAGTGGTTCTTGAAAAGATTTGTGGCAGTCTTATTTGTCGAAATTTCGTTATGAAAATTCATAATTACACGTATTCGCATATAAAAAATTACATTGATTAGATGGCTTTTATGCATTTTTAAGTGGATACTAAATAAAGTGTTATCTCGCATAAAAGCGGTTTATATGTATAAAATGGAATATGATATAAAGTAAAACGTAATGTAGTCGATTTTTTTTTAGGAAATCTATCATAACTAAATCAATTGTTGACATTGTTATTATCCTATAAGAGGACTAGCATATAATCTGTTAGTAAAATGTTCGGTTTCCATTCCCGAAAACTACTACTTTCATTCGCATAGAGTGCCAAAATAATTAACTTCTCATACAAGTCATTGAAGGCTGCCTTAAATCCTAATCACTTTGTCGAATATCCTATACATATACATACATATACATATGAACCATGTGCTAGCCAAACTCGAGTTAAATATGAAAAACAAAAGATATAAGAACACTATAGAAGAACAAGGCCGAGCATTAAATACCCCACAACAGACCGCCTTATACGGTCATGCATTCATTTCGTGTAAAGGCATACTTTCACTTACTTACTTCAAACGACAGTTAACCTGATTCAAATTTAGCAAAATCAATTTACTTGTCAAAGATTTGTTATTTTCCATTTACGAGCGCTACGCGCGAGATTAGACTTTGTCGTTATAGAAGGTCGTAGTTTTTACGAAAGTCCCTGTATATGGTGAGGTCCAAATAACAGACCTCTGCGATTCAAATTCCCTAACCGTTAAGTTTCGTGCCGAATTTCTGCTATGGACTCATTGTATATTAAAAATTAAACCTCTTTGTAAAGGGCCTACTATTGATGAGTGGGATCCAACAAGTAGACCCCATATGGTTCAAATTTCCTTAATATTACGAATGAAAATTTTCTTTATAAAATATTAACAATTAGACCTTTTTGGCCTATAAGAGTTAACATTTTCTAAGAATAACGCTCACAGGCGAAGATATTGAAAAGCTAGACCTACGTGGTCCAAATTCGTTACAAATTCGTTGATTTGTCAATTTACTATTATGAACCAATTTTCATCATGGAATATTCAAAACTAGATCTATTTATCATATAAAGATTCAGCTTTCGCCGGAAAGGTGGCGATGACAATGAGTAGGGCGTCAAAAAATTGCCTCTTGTCGAACCAAATTATTCAATTCAATCAATTTGGAATGCGGAATGCCGATAAAGATTACAATTTTTGCCCGAAAAACTAGTTCATTTCCATATCGATCGATAGCGATCGTCTTTGAACTAAAGCACGTCAACGTACCAAATTTCATCGAAATAAATCAAAAAAATTTGCGACCTGTATAGGTTGGACACAAGAATACATGGACAGTGATTAGATGGACAGACGGAAAGACAAGCCATCGTGCGCTATAATAAAAGATGGGTCTATAACAAATCCTTCTACGCGTAACATGCGTACGCATAAACTTAATATGCTCTGCAACATAAGTGACGTAAGCTATAATTATTCCCTTTAGTATCTTTGGCTTTTCATATGGAACCTATAGCGATTCATGCGACTCAGAGAAACCCTAGCCAAGGCCAATGTCTTGGCCGGTGACTAAAACTGATAAGTAGTCAACACGAGTAGGATGTAAGCTAAATCTATTAATAATATAATGTAGACTCGATTATGTAATAAGTAATTCTATGTGTATTATAAATATTTAGGCAAATTTGATAGTATAATGAAAAATATCATAACAAATAAATAAAATGAGATAATCTCATTCCGATTTTAGTGTACTTGATTTCTCTTTTGAGGCTTTTTTTTTTATTATCTTTATCAACATCGAATAATGGGAATATAATATATAGTCACTAGATTTATTTTTTCATTTGTGATATCTCCGTACATGCAATGGATAAGTCGCTAAGATTCGTCGCTTCATCCGAGCATCCGTCAGTGCTATCATTTAATCGTCCATTCCTCTATCTAGTGCCCGTCATTAGAATGTTCACTTCTATCAAAATTCTAATATTCAAAAGTTAATATTTATCGTATATATGATACTCTGAAAGACACACTAACACTACGCTATACTTGAAACCTAGAACAGATGTTGATTTATCGTTACTTGTTTACCATTTAAAGAATCAGGCAAAAAATAGGTAGATAGGGAATAGTAACCTACAACTTGTAGGAGATATCGTGAAGCGAATTTAACCGAAATAGTGTCAACAAACTTAATTGAAGATAATAAAAAACAGACTTTCGCTTCCTCTTCTTTTTTCTTTTGTGTTTCTTGAGTTTTTTGAGCTTCAGGTTAAGGTAATTTAACTAAAGAATATATATAGCAAGGATTGTGAATCGTATTCACGCATACTTTTTTTTTGTGACAAATGCTGTCTATCTGTCCCCCATTACGTTTATAAATGTCGGAAACCCTTTGCGAAATCCTAATAATTAAACAAAGACTGATCGAATTACAAATCCTTCTCCGGTACGCAAAACCATGAAAGAGTCTCGATAATGAACCGAATAATTCAACATTTTTTTTAACAATAACTTATCTACAACCAAGGTAAGAAACGATAGTCAGCCTAATTGTCGTGCAATTAATTTTCAAATTTATGTAAAGAAGATCCAAGAGTGCAAGCAAATATTGCGCATTGCCTTCCTGCTTATCGTACACTGTATCACTTGTGTTACAGGGCATATTAAATTTGAATAGCATACGGCATCCAGAAGGACTCAAGATAGATCCACCTTTTATGTGGAATCATTTTCTAAATCAATCTAAACGTCTCGGTCCGTCTGTCCACCTGAATTTGTGCTCAAACCAGTACAAGTCGCTGCAAAATTTTTATTGATACACATCGACATTGGAAAATTTTGAACGTTCCGTTTAGTTAGTTTAAAAATTCTTAGCTTAATCATTCATAGAAGTAAGAATAAAAACCTTTTCAGTAGCAAATTTGCCTTTGCTTTGCAAACTTATTTATATAGACAGGTAGCGACAAAATATTTATAAAATATTTTCTTTTTTTTTTTTTTTTTTCTTTTGCTTTATATCCTATAGAATCACTTTCTGAATCAACCAAACTTGACCGTCTTATATTCTTGTGTTCAATTTATAGAACGCAATTTTCGAGACAATTTAATGAACATTGA